AACAAAACATAATAACAGTCCTGGAAGCTATTTTATAGTTTTAATGTAGAACCTATAAACAGTGTTTCAACATGCATCCAGAAATTTCTTTTGCTAGGAAACTAAATGGATTCAATAGTTGAGCCTCACATAACAATCCTCTAGTAAAAATCAAAAGTATATTTGCAGCCCCCTAGTGCCCCCAATTCACACAGACTTTGCCTAAGTATATGCTTCAGTAATTGTAGTTTAATAATATGAGTAAATAATGTTCCTGACATATTTGTGTTAATACCAGTTGACCTTAGGAGAGTGAACACACTAACAACTACAGTAAATAGAGAAGTTCTGCAAACCACGCATAAATATGGATTGCACTCCACATGTGAAAACCTAAAAGTGTAATTGTCCACAGGGGACAGTAAGGGACAGACTCAACTGACCTTGCAGGAAAATTGATGGCAAACAGCACATCTTATTAATGTAGTGGGGTGGGCAACTTGCCCTAGGTGGTCTAGAATCAAAACAAGCACCAGCATCACTCTTGACATAGAATCTTATACTCAAAATACAGAATAAAATGCAATTAAACTTAACATGGAAATAAAAATGGAAAAGCACAGAGAATTTGTTTTTAAAAATCTCTCAAACAATGTGCTTTGTGATTTGCAAGATTCAGATTGTCATGTACACCAGTGTAATTAATTTATTGTGATTCATTCAAAAATAAAAATTCTTTTAGGTTTTCACTGTTTTCTTTGAATTTACCATGTCAAGTACAGATGTCTTATAAAAGATAAGTTGGTTCATAACCCAAAATTTCAAGGACATCAAGGACACACATTGCTCAAATATTTTTATGATAATTCACAACTTTAGTAGGCATACTGTAAATATAACTTACATTTTATATTAAAAGTAATATTTAATTATATACATTAAGTGGAACTGATTTGTCTTAGAATTCTACTGAAATTCAAATTCAATTTGGTTCAACAAGTGGTTCAACTTCAAATGAGTTTTATAGGAATGTCAGTTAAAAATAAACCATTTTAAAACATTTTTATAGGGGCTTAATATTAAATCATCACATAACCTTATTATGGTTATGTGGGAGAGTACAACATTAACCAGGATTTGATTAAATTTTAAATTTTATTTGTTGATATGAGGTAAATGGTGTTTCTTTTTGGCTTCTGATATTTTTGCTTTTCTGAACACTGCCTTCATTGCTTCTGTTACAACCCTTGTAAAATCCCAGAAATGCATTGCAGGGTTAACAAACATCCCCTTTGTCCCTGGAATTCACTAGAGCATATCTTATAGACATATAACATGCCATTTTGATTGTCACATGAATGAAGGAAAAAAGATGAGTCAACATGTTTATACACAAAGGGGTGCTTTTAGTCAGCCTTGGAAAACGCTTCTATGTGGGGTACCTTTCATTATAAATTGTCTACGCTCATCCCAATTACTGTGCCAGGAATTACATCACTCTTTAATTTCACATCTACCACTGCTGACATGGGAAAGCAAAGCTCTGGGTGTTCACATACTGTAGACTGGTATATCTCTTAAATAACATTTTAGAATTGTATTGATTTTTGTGTGCATCTGATTATATCTGTGTTATTTATTTAAAATGAGGAAATCCTGTATGTTAAGTCAGCTGAGAATTTTACTACTGATACTGTAGGCAACCTTTTGTGTCTATCCCACTCGCTTTGCAATGGAGGAAGCATATTTCAATCAGCCAGGGAGCAATTTTCCACAATGAATGGCTCTATTCTCCTGCCAGAGCCCTTTAAAATCAGGGCAACAAGTGACAAACTGCATTCTTTTAAAAAAAAAGAATAGAGTGATCTAAAATCACATTCCAAAGTATCTGAACTGACCCATGGCCAAGAGCAATACAGTGTGCTGTATGGCAGTGTGCTGTGAGGACAACAGATTGGACATGGATTACATTTGTGTTCTAATGATTATTACAGTAAGACACCTGTGCTCTGGGCAGATTTGGGGATTGGTTTTAAAACAGATGTATTTTAACTTGCTCCTTAATCCCAATTAGAACAGACCAAAAGACCTAAAACTGCTAAAGGCATAAAATGATCTTAAATGCGAACTGTCAGTTAATTAATAAGAAAATTTAAAATTATTATGGTAAAAGGTATAGTATGAGTGATTATCAGGGGTATCCTCTGATCTTTAAGTAGCAACATTTCACATACATTAATATTATTAACTAACGTCTTTCAGCAGTTTAATGTGGATGACTCTTTATTGTAACACGATAGTTTCTTCCTATTATTCTAATTTGCATCTTAAGCTGTGATTAACAAGATTGTAACAAAAAAACTTGGACATACTGTTGAGCAAAAATGTGCTACGATTGACCACTTCTTGGTCAGAATTACTACCTAATTTGGATTTAGGGTTATAGCTAATAAGATTAAGGGTAATTGTCTCTCCCAATTACTGTACAAAGTTGATTTGAGATAAGAGTATTGAGGAAGTGGTGGTGTCCAATATAATTGTATTGCAAACTCTATTTACATTTACAGTTATCACTTTATTTAAATCAGATCTAGGCTATCCTGGCCTGAAGGCCTGCAAAAACACTGACTCTCCTGAAACAGTGCTGCCTGATCCCTAATATGATGAAAGTAAAATGTATAGTAGTCTCATGCTTATGTGGAAAACACAGTTGGAACCTAATAACTGCTGTTGCAAACACATTGAACATGCAAGCTGCAGAGCCTAAACAATGGTCAAATGAATTATAGACCCAGTATCTGGTCCACTAATGAAAAACATTTAAATGTCTCTAAGAGACCAGAGGAGTTCTGCCATTGAAACAGACTTGGTTTGCATTTTGAACTGTATTACACTCTAAAGCCAGTGTCAACCTCACTGATTAGTAGGCTTCAAACTTAGTTATCTGAATCTTAACACAGCTGTGGCTTAATTGTATGTGGTTAGCTATTATTACAGCAAACAAAATACGGTATTCTTCAATAGTTACAGTAGTTTTATGCTGTTTTTCTTTTTTCCTACTGCTTATAAGAGCCTTAGAAGAAAATTAATTTTGGAGGATGCCTTGTTCATGACTTTGTTTTTGCAATGCTTTCTTGAAGTAAATGGTGCAGATCTGTATCTTTTCACATGCAACTTTTTCCTGAAGTTGACGTTAACTATAAAGTTAGTTTATACTATTAAGAAAATGATTACACCATTATGTATATAAATGCAGGTTCACAAGATGAAATCAAATGTTAATCCTACAATGGAATATTATACAGAACCATGGGGAATGGGTTTTAAATTCCTTTATGTCTCATGCTTTCCTCTAGAAGACAAATAGTGTTTAAGTGTTTGTCTAGGAACAGACTTGTAGTCTAATTATTTTTGGGGTATTCAGGCAGTAAACCGTCTGTAAATGCTCACTTTTGTGTTCTGTGTGGCATTCTTTTGATGGCAGGCAGGGAAAGGCAATAGCTTTGGATAAAGAATGTCTGAATTACTGAGTTATTGATGTTGGGAATGCCTGTTCCAGGCACAAACATAAGAAATTCCCAACTGAAGATAATATTACTCCTGTGTACCACCACAGAACCTCAGTACATCCCACAGATTGTTTTATATTTGCTCTAGAATTAGAGCCATGAGGCAGACTGCACAAAGAGATGACTGTACTGAACTTATTGTGGAACTTTTCTCCGTGCTCTTAAAATGGTTCACAGCAATTACGCTTGTGGACAATGAACAGGTGAAACCAGTTGAAGCTGAAACATGTGTTGTGGAATTGCGGTACCTTTACTGTATTTCTTAGTATGTCAGAAGTCTTCACTTGTCTCATTTTATTTGGGTGGGTCCAAAATGCATGACTGCTATGATGACCCCGTTGCTAGGCATATCAGTTTAGCATATTCGTGGTGCTAGATACCTCCTCTCTAGGATTTGTTATTATTGTATTTGCAGAGACTGTTCTTGTTACATATGGATTTAATTTAATTTTATCATTGGTGTCACTGGTATAGAAGTCCTTCCCAGTTCTTGTTCTTCAATAATTATATCATAGCAAATAGCAGAAAACTACAGTATGTTATACTGCTTTTCCATATTGATTTTATTTTTATGATTATTTTTCATGGATGTGCGGGGGTTTTATTGACCTTGGGATCTGGTGACAAAATTAAACCTATGGACTTGTTCAGAATCAACAGTGAAACTTGAACCAGAGAATATGAATGGAAAATACAAGGAAGTATATTTTAAAACTGAGAACAGGGGGTACTTTGTGTGAGTCTGGAACAAGCCATGTTGTTGAAGCCAATACCAAATGGTTCTTTCAAGAAAAAGATGGATGAGAACCTCAGGTCACTTAGCTAGTAAAAACCATATTAGTTAGTAGGCCAAATGGCCTCCTTTCCTTTGCAAACTGTACAGTATGTTCTTGTGTGGGATTGCATGCTTCTGAAATGTGAATACAAAGAAATACAAACCTTTGGTAACAATTCTAACTTCTTATTGTGCTGTAATTCCACTATCTCCAGTTATATTATTTAGCCACTGCTTGCATGTTTATGACTTTCAAATACAACCTTATTTTGTGTTATTTTCTAAACTTGTTTTGAGGACATCAGCTGTTCAGGGATATGGAGGCTTACACATCGCGATGAGGTTCTGAAATAATAAAGGTTAAAATGGTGATCAATCTCATGTGATATGGAAAGACATAGCATTATTTGTGTGTTGTGTTTTGTGTTTTTGATGTTAACATTTCAATTTGATATCGAAATAGAAATGGGATATAAAACTTGCTTTATCAAATGCATTTTACATCTGTTGCTGTTGAAACATGTTGTTTTTTAAAAGACCCATTCCTCTTGGATAGATCATATCTAAACATTTTGCAACAAGAAATGAAGAAATTGTTTGTGTGCAGAGCAGTGACAGTTGAGATCACCAGGACAATGCACATCATTTTTAATGCAACTTATTTCTTTTCCATGCAGATCAATATGTTTGTGGAGGGTTTCCATGATGCTCTGTTGCTTTATGCCTTAGCCCTTCACGAAGTGATGAAAAATGGTTACACTAGGAAAGATGGAGCAAAAATTGTACAGCAAATGTGGAACAGAACTTTTGAAGGTAAGTTATTATGGGAAAATCCTCTCATCAATACTCCCGAAATATCCCAAAAGGCCCGAAATATGGCCTTGATGATGTGTGGGCTATTCACCCCTCCATTTAACCCCATTTCAGCTTCACCAAAGAAAAGTGATCAGTTTGAACATTCACTTTAAAAGATGTGTGTACATACTGTAATTTGTAATTCATCAAAATGGGACATCTTTGGAAGGTGGTAAATACTTTTGCAAGGCATCGTTTTAAGGTGAGCTGCTTTGTTTTCACACACTGATCTATAGCCTAAGAAACCAATGGCATTTGGATCATACAGTATTTCTACAGAAAAAAGGTGAATGATGCAGTTTAATCACATATATTTGTGCTTTATTGTTGAATTATTAATAGCAAATCTTACTCAATGTGAAAAATTATTGGGAATAAACTTTTTAAGTTTACAAATAAAATCCTAACACATCAGAAAGGAGGTTGTTGAGCATTAAATCAGAAGCACATCCCATGAGAATACTGTAGATTTCAAGGTAAGATTAAGAGCACATTACTGTGGAAAGAGGAACACTTTAAAATATCCCATCAAATCTAGCCTGCATGTGTTAGAGATGGAGGAAAGTCACCCACAGACAGCTCATTCAAATATGCAGAGAACATGCAAACATCTTACAGAAGAAGTATCCCAGAATTGAGCCCAGGTTTGCACAACACCACTGTGCTATCCATAAATAAAAGTATTAAGATCAATTTTGTAACTGAATACTACAGTTGAAATAAAGAAGACTGCTTCCTGTGTGTCATGCAAGACACAACCAGCCATTTTAGTTTAGCATTTTTAAGCTACTCTTTGCCATTACTGGAGAGCTAGTGCTCCTCTACCTTACTACTCCAGAGATTTAGTATTGCATACTTCTTAATACAAATTCAATAGTTGAATTCAAGATTCCCGTTAAGGAAAGTAATAGCCAGGAGTTAAATACACTTGCCTGAAGATTTAGTTAAAATTGAAAGTGCTGATTTGTACATTCCAGAATTCACCATCTTTTTTGAGGATTTCTAAAAAATGCAGTAAAGATAAGGCATCACTAAATAGCTAGTCACTGAGGTACAGTTACAAAAGAATATGCACCATTTAAGCCATTTATATGCTTAAGTGACTAAAGAGCCACATCCAACATGAAATAACAATGTTTTGTTCTGCAGGATCCCTAGAAAAACAAGGTCATATTTTCTCGTTTAAAAAAAAATAATACTTAAAAAATGTCAAGAATTTCGGAATGCAGACACAAGGATGAAATTACAATTTCTTGAGGGAAAGCCAACAAAAATGCTGGGAGACTGATGAGATTTCCTGTTGTATTGGCTGTCCGGACTGTGTTGACTCTTGCTCTTGTTTTCCTTGGAATGTACAGGTCTTGTAGCTAATTAATTTTCACATTCCCTGCATTCCATTCCTTAGGCATTGCAGGCCAGGTGTCTATGGATGCCAATGGTGATAGAAATGGGGATTTCTCTGTGATGTCCATAACAGATACTAAGGCAGGCACCCATGAGGTAAGCACACCTCATGTTTTTTTTTTTCATGAATCATTCTACAAGAAGCACAGTGCCCATGTGTGGAAATTTTTAACTTTTTGACAGCTGTAGATACAATGTTTTCATCCTTACAGAAACCTTTTGTCTAAGCTCTTCATGCTGTCTGTGTTTTAAGAGGCAGATCTACGTTAGCTATTTAAATCTATCAAACTCTCGTATTTGATGTCCTAAACAATGTAGCACAGTATTTAAGCATGGCAACAAAAACCTGTGATATGCATACCATTCTGTGTTAGAAAATATCCTTTACAAAAACAACGGCATGTATTTGTTGCCAGTTGAATCTAAAATGCTTTATATTGCTGTGGAAATAGAGTTCAGTTACAAGACTTAACTGTGGCTATTTGTAAGCATTTTATGTACTAACAAATACATACTGTATCATGAATGTAAAAGCTTGCAATAAAGGCTGACATTAACAGTACAATTTTTACTATGATATACAGTACCATCCACTACCAAATGATATCCACCCATGAGAATAAGAACCTTAAATGGTATTCAGTAAAAGCACAATGTTTTAAATTAATAGAACCCTTAGATATTCAGAAAGTCATCATATGAATTAACAGTGGAAGGAAACCAATTCAGGAAGAGAAGACATGGGCAATTACTGCCATGGAGTCATTGATAAAGGCACTGACTTCTGGGAGTTATGACCTTTGTGCTCTTTTGTCTTTCTCCTTTAGGTTATTGCTAACTACTATGGCATAAATGGAAGCTTTGAAATCCTGCCAAATATGAAGTTTGAACTTTTCCCTGCAGCAGGCAGACCGCGAAATCCTGAACCCCCAGAACATCCTGACAAATCATGTAAATTATTTCTGCTGTTTTTCTTTGTATTGTTGACCTTTGTCTAGTATTAAGCCTCAAAAGGCTAAGAAAGCTTTGCTGGTACAGTATGTGCTTTTCTATCTAATTTTCAGTGATCCGATAAACCTAGTTTCTTGCAAAGGAAACTGAAATGAATGACAAACTCATTTACACAATTTACTGTGTAGTATGATGAGGAAATTGGTATGTTTACCAATAGTAGAATTTAACATACTGTACATGGTATTTGAAAATCAAGAGACAATTTTTTTATTAAATACTGTAACGCTTACGGCCGACAGGCACTGTGTAAGAGCCGGCATACCAGAGCAGGTGATGTCACCGCCCTTCCCTGTGATAGCAGGACCACAGCTACTGGGCTGTAGAGAGATCTCTCTTTGGCTCACGGGGCTGGGTCGCTGCAGAGAGATGCGGGAGTCCCGGGTTTGAGCCCCCGATGGTGGGGGGCCGACCTAATGCGGCAAGGGCGCCCACCTGAGCCCCCGTTGCGTTACAATATGTTTGTTTACTAAATAGCACTGATCATTTTTGTGTTGGAAATTCCACCTTTAAAGTACATGTAGTACATGTACATGTAGGAGCAGTAAATATTTATTCCTTCTTACCTAGGACCACATTTGGAAATCTTTATCTACTGAGTAGTGGCCATTAGAGTACATGGCACAAAGTGCACTGGTGTGTTATTGCTAAACACTAGTGACCTGCTGTGGTATTATAGTAGCTGAAGGCATCTTCATCTGAAGTCATGATGATTACTAATAGCTTTCTTTTGTTTCCTAAGCAGGTGGACTAGGAGTATCTGCAGTTACTGGTATTATAGTTGGAGCTCTTTTGGGAACTGCATTGCTAATGGCTTTCTACTTTTTCAGGTTAGTGATCCAGAAACAAAGCACTTTCTTAAAAACACACCTTCTGTTGTGTTTTTAAGAAACAGAAGCATATAAAAAATCAGACTTGGTTAAAATACTTGTTTAAACAAGGTTGAACCTTGTTTAGTTCATCTGTTTAGGCCTTACAGAAGCTGGTGGCACTTGTTTTTAAATGGATTAAATTAGCCATTAAAATAACATTTGAAATGTAGTCATTTGAAGTGTATGTGCTGCAGTCACATACAGTATACATAAATACATCAGGTTTTTATATTAATACTGTAAATACTTATACAGTACTTAATATATACTTTATTCTGTATAAGTATAAAATTCTAAATTCTTGATATATTTCCAAATACATCCATGTTAAGCTGCTTCTCCGCTTACAATAATTAAGAGACTGTAGTAATAATGTGATTGTTTATGGATTTAAGCATTATGTGTTCTAGTAAAAAACGATGCATGAAATAAATGAATGCAAGACACGTAAAACAACTTTTTAATTATTAATTTTAGAAAACTGAACTAAAATTATTTTTTTACACTGATTACAAAGAAAATTGCTGTATTTCAATTCAAACATTTGGTTGTAGTTTCTTACCATTATAAGATGTTACTCATTTTTTAAACAGATTTGAGAAAAAATGCCCAATTAGAAGGAAATGGCTCTGATATAGACATAAACCTACAGAATTCTAACAGTACAAGTACACCTATACTTACATACTTTAGGGGTCTGGACTTATGGTATTGGAAAGTATCTTTATGTGAAATACATCTACCCTTTTCTTTTGCAAATTGGCTGGTGTAGTCAGCTTATATACCCATAGGCATTTGAAGGTAAAAAAGCAAAGGTTAACACACCAATTCCATTGATCAGCCTGAAAGGAAAAGATAGAGAGCAATTTCAAGTAAGTTCAAGTATTGGATGTGGTGTATTTTGTGGCAATAGTCTGGGAATTGTTAGACAACAAAGCAGAAGAGGAATGTGGGGTTAAGGCATCCCATTCCAAGGGTGAAATGCTTTAATCTTTCACATCTGAAAAGGCTTGCATTGAATTCATCTTTTTTTGCTAGTCGCCCAAGGCATTTTCTCTAATTAAATTTGTCCTCGTTATGGCGTAGACCCTTTGAAAAAAGCGGTGTACATAATTTCCCTTTTCCTCTCTTCATATCTTACTGATTGCATTTTCCTCTTGGGTGCTCTGAAGGAGTCTCTGTTGTTGATTCTGATTAAAATATAACCTAGTTTGTCGAGCTACTGTAAGCTTTTATTCCAAAAGAGACAGTTCCTGACTCTTTGAGCCTGCTTAGCAGGCAGCGTACTGAGCACTTAATCATTGCTACACAAAGCTGAACTGAGGACTGCATGGGCTATTCTTATGACCTCTGTTGTTTTCAGAAAAAACTACAGGATAACCATTGAGAGGAGAACCCGGAGAGAGGAGTGTGACATAGGGAAGCATCGCCAGTTGCGAGAAGACTCCCTCAGATCCAACTTTTCAGCAGCATAGAGCAATGGAAAAAGTGCACCCAATTGGGGGAAAGTTTTCGGTGGATGAGACCAAAGACTCTGCAGGCTGTTGAAGAACTCATTTTATTTAAGAAGTAGAGTTATTTTTGAATCTCAATTTCTTTGACTTTCGGAAACTCAGGAAAGTTGTATCGATCACATGCTGCCACTTCAAAGCATTTCATCTCTGTAGAAACAAGGATGTATTTTTAAGCTATAGGGCTTTTTTTTTGAGGCCAGTATTGAGTCTGGGGGTAGTGATGACACTCTGTATATAACCTCAGATTGGCTGAGAAAGGCTTGTACTTCCAGGAGCCAATGTCAAAAATAAGGTTCATAATACAAGTCTAATATCTCTAGTGGTAATAGAGGAAAGTGTGGTCCTTTGTTTACAACAAGGCTTCTTTTATCCAGATATTTCACACACCTTGTCATAAATGCCAGGAAATGAGACTAGTGGAGTTTTTCGACAAAGGAATGTAACTTTTTTTTGTAAGATCAGCATCAAGGAATATGAATTGTGGCAAAGGGCACAATTTTGTTCTTCTTCTTTTGAGGTGTGATCTATACAGTATGTGGAGTCATGTCTGCATGATGAATTATCTATGTGATAGAAAATTTAGGAGGTACTGTTACACCACTGCATGTACAGCTTTTGAAACATTTGTATTCAAAAGACAAATTTTAAATTTTAAAAACTTCATTATAATTCAAACTTCTTTGGCTTAATGAAACATACAGAGAAACAGATAACTGTGTATATTTTAAATTGCTCTAGCACAATGCAAAACTCTACAACATATTTGACTTCAAGTATGTGCTTGAAAGTGGATTTAACCTACAAAACAAAAAAATCAAATAAAATGGAAACAATTTAAAGTAGAAGATCTGGATAAATGAAGCTTCTATAATCTGCTTCAATGTGCATGAATGAAATCATTTGAGGCAATACCTTCTGATTTGCATTTTTCTTTAGAATAATCTAGACTAAATAATAAAATTGCGTACTTTTAGAATTCTGACAAAATGTCACAGAATATTTACAGAAATTTTTCAGCCAGCGTAGCATACTTTTTTACATTTATATTCAATGTGAATATTGCAGAGAAAAATGTATGTATTAGATTTAAATTCTTTAAGGCAAAGAATATGAAAAGAAAATCAAAACATTTTTAAAAACAAAATCAATCTAGCAAAAAGAAAATGTATATTTGGACCCTACGTTCTTGATATTTAAACTTTTTTGCGTTTAAATATCAAGATCTTTCCCTGAGCTTTTTTCCCAGATTTCTATCTAGCTGCCATCTGTTGTTACAGCATATGCACATCACAACTGTAATGTTTTTTTTTTGCATGTTAGGCAGAAGACAGTCCTCACAAATCTGAGTCACAATAATTAAAAAGAAAGTGTAGGGATTACAGTATCTCACCAAATTCTGTTGATGAAAATTCTTTGACTTCCCTTTTCTATTAAATGTCATACACAAACTCCTCATTATGTTCCTACATGTTAAAATGTAGATTTTGATTTATCAATTTAATTCTTTAAAGGCTAGGTAACCATACCTGTGGTTATTTTTCTCCACATAAGGAACACTCAGTAGTGAGTTCTATGAAGCTCAAAGTGAAGGTTACAGGCTGAGTGCAAACTATATAATTAATGAGAACTAAAAACAATGTGGAGAAAAAAAATGAATTTATGATTGACGTGCTGGTGAATCAACACAGAATAAGTGTAAAGGATGATGAAAAAGGATTCATTATATTCATCTGGCATTAGAAAAGACATCACTAAAGAAAATCCATCTTTTTGTTCACTGTGCTGGTAAAAAGCTTCTACCAATCTGGCAGTAAATGCATAATGTTTTATTCTTTCTTAACATTTGTGCAGATGCTTTTACACCACATTATTGATGGACTGTAAGTGAAGTACTGTTTTCTCTTTTTCAGTCAGAGTATGTTCAGCCCCTACCTGGCATACAAAACATTGTAAAACCCATAATAGAGATTTATTTTTTTCAGATTGCAGAAACCTACAGTACAAAGTAAAAGCCAATTTCTTTAGTAATGTGTATAGTAAATAATATACAGTAGTGTTACTGAACACCTGTTGCAGACACTCTGCTTGTTTCCTGGTATTGAAATTATACTCTTTCAGAGTGTTCTTCAATGTACAGAAGTCTTTTAATTAGCTTTTTATTGGATTAATCATGTAGCAATGTTAGAAATTGCACAGACACAAAACACTGGGAATTAATTAAATATGAATTTAGCCATTATTTAAAGTGCTATTAAAGTGCCAAATGTACTATTCGTGTATGCTTCAGTTATTGTGTGATTTGAGCTGTATTTTTGCATAACTACACTTCTATGCTTTTGATCGATAAATTTAAATCATCTATATTATCAACATCTATTTTTAAAAGTGAAACCTTTTGTAGAAAATTCAGAAATATTGATGTATACATTATAGGATATCACCTCTTAATGTCAATATAATTTGGAATCATTTTAGATATTTAATATCTAATAATATCTAATATCAGACCATTTAATTCTATATTGTAGTTTTTGAGTGACAGAGGACTACTTTGCAGTCTATATTCAGGCCAGGACTACAGTGTTATTGGTGAGATGTGAAAGCTGTAACTTCTGTTTTGCTGGCAGACCTTCTCACTTTTCATTAGTCCTAGATTAACTAATCAACAATATGTAAAATCTCCCATTATTATTCAATCAATATAACATGGTTAATATTTAAAAAAGTCTTCCCCTTGTAGGGTTTTTACATTGTTTAGGTATTATTAGGTAATAGTTTTAGGTATTATATAATTTATCTTGAATATTTTGTTCTCTCTCACAGCTGCAAAACCATGTACCATGAAACTCTGTCTTACCTCGTATCTTAGCAACAGTCTCGAACTGAGAAATTAGGTATGGTTTGGGTTTCAGATTTTTGCATAATCCATCTAAATTAATCGTGAAACCCAAAACAAATGAGAACAGTATTAACACAACTACTTTAACTAAATTACTTTAACAAAACATTCCCACTTAGAAAATTCATGTCAGTTTGTTATCTAAACATTTGAAGGTATATGTAGGTTTCCAGATGTAATAGTTGTAATACTAGAGTAGGGAATTAAAGGAACTCTACAAAAGTCTTTCTTATGATTTTGCCATGTGTCATGAGGATCAGTATTGGTCCTTTATTTCACAATTGTGTGTCAGAAATCCCCTTATGATGTCCATGTAGCACCTGAAATATGGATATGATGAAGAAGACATTAGTCATCACCCTTATCTGGACAACCATACCTATATGTTGAGGGTTAGAATTGTAGGGATGCTCGTTGCCTTGACCAGTAAAGATGTCTATTCTGAACTCAGTCTGAGCCCTGTAGTCCACACATGTCTTTCCTGAGACACTATGGCTGGGTCTCTGCTAGTGGTACGCAACTGGCCAAACTCTGCCAGGCCTGGATGGGCTTGAAGTCAGTTGTGTGGTGTGGATTATTAGCCAACTGTATAAATTACACATTTTTGCTTCAGGCCTGGACTGTTTGTCATCAGCCAACCGTGAAAAGGATTTTCAAAGAAGCAGCCCACTACTGGGGTCAGGAGGGAATGATTCAGCCAGAGGTTCAGGCTTCTATAGAACAGCCGTCCCTATGCCTTGCCATCTGTAAGCATGCACAGATGAGAGGAAGTGAAAAAAGATCCTAAAGAGTTCCTAGCCTGCCAAATCACTCTTGTCACTGGAACAAAATACTGACATCCAGTCATCCTATGCCTTACATACTGTAAATAAGTTTTCCAACTGTTAGTCATGTCTCTTAACAGAAAGTGTACTTGATGGCTGGCATTTTAGAGCTGAAAATGGACTCAATTTTTAATTGGTTTTATACTGATGGAAATAGCAATAATAATCAGATTTTACAGTTAAGATACACCATTAAAGAATATTACGTTGAAGAATGGAGAGAGAAAAAAACATCTACAGTAGGCTTATTTCCACAAAGAACTGAAATCACAGAATTCAACATGGCTAAGGTAGACATAAGCCTTTTAGCACATACTTAATCCACTTCAATCTCACAAAATACTTGGAACACTGTCAATGCTGAGATTAATCTCTTCTCTAGCCAAGAAACACAGTTTTGCTTTCAAGTGAAAATTGGCATCCAAAAGTAGATTTTTAACTTTTAATTATCTTATTTCACTTATGTATTTCAGTTGTTGTGTTATATTTAATTTGGAAAAAGTTTTGCATATCTTTTCTGAAGAGTCTTAACTGCCATATGCAAGCCAGTCCTTATAATATTGAGAACAGACTAGGGCGGTGTATGTTCTACACTAATACCTTCCATTTGAATACAGAAGCCTGGCAAATGACAATTTCTTACAAATAACTTACATATTTAGAGTAGGAATAATTTAGTGAAAACCAAAATGAATAATTTAATCTGTCTATACTTGTAAAATGTACAAAGTGTGTTTTTTACACAGATGTCAGTTTTAAGCACAGCTTTGCTTTCATTTAAACCTGGGCCTGCTTCCAATGTATAACATACTGCCAGTACATGTCTCGATTTCTTTTTAGAGTAACGTAATTATATTATTGATTTTTACTTAACGGAGCTGTCTGCCAGTACAGAGAGGTTGAGTACTGAATGCTTCTTCCCACGACTTAATTTTAGATGCAATGTAATATTAGTTGGGCAAGGTGCTTATTTAAAATAGATTAGATAAGATATGAGTTATATAAGTATATAAAATGAGAAATAGGTAAGAAAGTTGTAATAAATTAATATTTTTCATCTTATGAGCTTATTACATTAATCCACCCTTTTTGTTGTACTGCTAGTTACCTGTGTTATCTGTGAATTACCTACAGTATATGAGTTGAGACCTTGTCAATTTACTTCCACTACTAGTTTTGTTCACTACTACTAATTTGGCTGTTGCTTTTATCCAAACCAATTTACATTTGTATCCAATCATACAGGTGGATATTTTACTAGAACGATTTTGGTGAAACACCTTCCTGAAGAGTACAACAGGTGCATTAAAATCTACAACTCAGTTGTCCTAATGAGTGCTTTAATCAGTCAGGGCAGTTCTGTCTTGCACTATAATATAGTAATCCTTGTAGAACCATAGGTTCTTGGCATTTAGGTCAAATCTGAATGCCCATTTAGAAGACTTATAGAGTAGTTTTAGCTTCATGCATTTTCTGCTGTTAATATGTTTCTCTGAAATGAAAGCACAGCCTCATCAGCAATGTGGTACTGTGTACAAATGATCAAAATGAACGCAAAGAAATTAAAATATTTAAATTCCATACTGTGCACTGTGCAATATATAAATTCTGATGTGGAATATTTGCTAAAAGGTGCAAACAGTTCAAATACATAATAAGCTATTGATTTTATTTGATAATGGGAAATGTA